AGTCAAGTGGATTTAGCTGGCAAGTTGTAGTGTTGTGGTATGGATGTGGATTTGTATTTGGAATGGTTATGGGATATATTATGTTTGTAACTCGAAGACCAGAATGGCTTATGAAATTGTTGATGGAAAACATCATACGAATGTGAAAAGGTCTAAGAAGGGTGCCCACTGATGCAGTGAAAGAAGAAATCAACAAAGACAAATGACATTATCAGGTAATTGGAATTTATCTTTGCAACATTACTTTGTTGGATTATTTTTTATGGTTTCTATCTATAGACTATATTTTTGTTACTAATGCTTTTTATTTCAGAACTAGATATTTTTCTTAGTTGCACAATAAAGAAATGGAATCCAGTTGAAGGGGTGTCTCACTAATTTGCTGCATTTGAGTGTATGTGCATTCAGATAGCAGCTACACAAGATCACTTCAAAAGCTTTACCATTGTTGCTTTATTAAATTCTAAAGTTAAGTTGTGTAGTTTTCTTAAAGCGTTGAGTTAAATAAGAGTTTCATGTCATGAATTTTTTTTCTTTTTTTTTTCTCGCATCATGTAACAACCTTTGGAGATTTTCACTTTTGTATGTAGTTGCTTTTAAATTGGATTTCAGTCACAAAAGACTAGGCATTGCCAAGTTTTTATCTTTGAAATGCAATCTTACAAGTTACAACCATTCCCCATGTTACATTCTAAATCATTTTGAGTAATAGAAATGTTGGCTACTAGATAGAGAATTCACATAGAAAATAATGTTATATGTTAGTCTGAGCAGTGCTTTTACTCGTCGCTATTGTAGTCCAACAGAGCTTTTGTTCTCTTTCACACCTTTCTATCAACAGACAGAATTGATGATAATTATTATTATTATTATTTTTCATCTTCATTGGCGATTGGAGAACCAAACTAGAGATATGTACTAGCACTTGTTCTATAGACGTGGGAATTTTGTTATTAATTGTAGTATGAAAATGGTATTAATTGAAAAGGTCGCTTATAGGCAAGAATGTTGTTGGGATTGTGAAGTCTGATTAATTAGTACTATACATTTCATTACACGATCATGGATCCAACTGATGTGACCATGTGATTTTAATGCATTGTTTTATTTTCTCTTTCCTTTTTTTTTTTTTTTTTTTCTCTTTCTTTCTAGTTTATAGCTAAAAATGAGGTTTGGTGTACTGAAATTGTTATTGTGTTCTAAGAAGTTAATTTTTTTTTTTAATTTTAGAAAGTTTTAATTCTGTCTTTATATATTGTTGATGTTTCTCTGCCAATTCTCTCAAATACTATGGAGTATTGATGAGTCCAGATCCTCTGCCATGGTTTCTTGCCATGGTCCCTGCCGTGATGCCAAAATGTCGTTTTGGCGTTAAATTCAAAAAAAAAAATTTCCTCTGTTTTCCCTTTCTCCCTCAATTGTTGATACAGCCCTAAACCTTAAGAGAGAGGCGAACTTGAACGGCTCCTTTGACGCAGAGGAGGGTAGGTGACGACAGCTGCGCTAGGCGAGGTGAGGCGACAGTTAGGTCTCTCCTCTTCCATCTTCATTCTCATGTGGTGCTTAAATATGTATGTATATATATATGATTTATATGTATATATATATGATTTCTTGATTTGAATTTCTTGTTGATTTCGTAAATGGGTTTGATTTTCCTATAATATTTTTCATATATGATTTGTAATTTTCTGAGTTCCTAGTTTCACTGTGACTGTACTTCTGTTTTTGCTCATACAATGACCAAGGTAATCTGTGATTATTAATTTGTAGATTTTGTGATTGAACGACAACAATTGGTTGTGGTTGGGCATGATGTCTCAAGTTAGGACCTGTTGAAAAGATTTGCTAAACTTTGAAGTAATTTGATATCTTACTTTGATGACTTGGAAGGACATAATTTTTTTGTGAAGATGATAATACAGTATGTGTTTAATTAGGATTGAATTGACATTCTTTTTTGGTGTGCCATACAATCTATGTTTTTGCTGGTAATGGAATAAAACAATTGTAATTACCTAAAAAAAAAGGGGAAAAAAAAATTTGTGATTGATGATAAGTAGAACAATTGTGGTTAGAAGCCAATTTATTTATTTTGACTTAATTGGTTTTCAGTGATTAGACTATTATTCTTAAATTGATCCTTATTTATATTTAAATATTTTATTGTTTCTTTGCAATGGCATAATGATGGTTAAATCACTGATGTTGCTAAAATTCTTTTATCATTTTTGTTGTAATTTTTTTTTTTTTATCATTTTTATTGAAATTGGGGTTTCCATTTTAATTCAAATCATTGATAATTGAAATCCTTGTGCTTTTGTAGGTAATGGAACAATATTGTTAATGAGTTGGACACTTATTGTTGGAAGCTGAAACTGGGGATGTTGCTCCCACATTCTTCTAGGAGTTGATTCAAGATTCAAGTGTTTGTCACTTTGCAATTCAAGACTCACATCGCAAGCCTAAAACAATCCTGCTGGCAGTCACGTAGGTGGTCCTTCAAATGACGTGTTGAGGCGATGAAAGATACAATGTTTTGGTTTAGTTAGATGTTATTTTAGTTGGATGTTGTTTTGGTGATTTTAGCCTTATGTTCAAATTAAAAGCCTTGATATGAACAAAATTGATTGAATGTTAATTGATTTCAGCCTTATTATGTTAATTGGCAAAATGTTTTGGTTTAATTGCCTTGATGTTAATTGATTTCGACCTTGTGTTAATTGACTGAACGATAAACTAAGGATGAAGACTGCTTAAGTTTTCCAGCATTAATCTGGACTGTTTGGTTTTTCCAATAAAATTCTCACCTGCAGTGAACTTGGTTGTTTCTATGGCATTCCATCTATGTATTTGGACAATCATCAAAAAGCCTTAATATTTGTCAAGATAGCAAGAACAGCACTGATATACATTCCCAATCATTTCAATAATAGCAACAACATTTCAAAATCAACAATTTTCAGAACTTCTAAATTCCCAACTATTTCAATAAAGCAACAACATTTCAAATTTCACAATTTTCAGAAGTTCTACATTCCCTACCATTTCAAAAATCAAACTAGTCAATTACAACATTGAAACATAGTTACTTCTTCATAATTAAAATAATAGCAATTACAAGTAACACCAATTATACAATCAAAAGTTTATTGCTTATTGCGTCTTCGTGGTCAAAAATCAAAGTTGTTCACTAACACTCCATATCTTATAACTTCACTTTGCAATAGCACAACTCTCTCTTATAATTCCATCACTCCTTTGTGTTGCATTTGTAGGACACATTACTCATTGCTGGTATAGAATGATCTCCACATTGATAATAGTACACTTTGTTGGGCTTCAACCCTGCAAAAAGAAGAGGAGAAGAAAAAAAAAAAAAAGAAGCTCAAATTAACACACCACAACAAATTCATCACTATTGTGTCTATGGCTTTGACCCTAATGTTCATAATTATAGATTTAACAAAATTATTTTCCAATGACACACACACACTCGTGTGAAGTGGAAAAAATTGATTTGCTCTGTTTTGAGACATATAACAATTTCATTCAATAAAAATAACAATTGTTAATCAGCTCAATCAAACCGTAAACTAAGAAATGAACATTATACTAACACAATTCATTGAGGCCTAACTACATACACATCATATGTGCAATTTTGACAACACAAACCATATCTTGACCTTGGGAAGATGGATTACCTTACTCCAATCACTCATCTTTTCCACTATTTTTGTGGATTCAATCTTCCTTATAGGTAAGCAAATAGTTTTGCTTGTAAAGAGCATGGTGAGGCTGCAATCTACAATCTTTGGCAACAAATCTAGACATTGACGCCATAGAAGATCGGATGGAAAGGGAAGACAAAGAATCAATGGAGGGGGTTCAGTTCAGACCATTCCTCTGTTCTTTGAAACTGATTAGGGCTTTGAAACTGATGAGAGAGAAAGGAAAAGAGGGGAGCAAACTCCTAGAAGTCAAACCTATTTACGAAAGAAACAAGAAATTCAAATCAAGAAATCATATACATATAAATCATATATATATATACATGTTTAAGCACCACATGAAAATGAAGATGGAAGAGGAGACCTCACCGCCGCCTCATCTCGCCTAGTTGCAGCTGCTGTCGCCTCTCGAGTCGCCGTTGCCCACCCTCCTCTGCGTCGGAGGAGCCGTTCGAGTTTGCCTCTCTCATGAGGGTTAGGGTTGTCTCAACAATTGAAGAAGAAAGGGCAAAAGGAGAAGGAAATGTTTTTTTTGAATTTATTATCAAAACAATGTCGTTTTGGCACCACGGTAGGATCATGGCAGGAAATCATCGCAGAGGATTTGGACTCGAGTATTGATTGAATGACTATGACTGCTATGAGCATTAAGGCTCTGTTTGGCTTAGGCTTAAACAGCAATTTTTTTGATTATTTATGAAATAAAAAATTAACCCCAGTTGACAATGTCTTAAAAAAACAAAATTTACTCATGTGAAGAGAATTCAAAAGCTAAAAAATATTGATTAATTGATGTTTCAATATAAGTTTTTATTTTTCACTAAGCTCAAAATTTAGCTTTTTGATCAAGTGCCAAAGATAATTAAAAAAAAAAAGGAAAGGAAAAATTACATTGATTTTCTCTAAAATTTAGAGAAAATACAACAAATATCACAATTTAAACATAATTATACCACTTTCTCTTTTAACGTAGCTAAAGGGATAAAATTAATACAGCTAATATAAAAGAAATATCGTTTTTCCATTCAAGCATGTCCAATTCTTAACTTTCTTTTTTGCTCATCAAATTAAAATTTGATTGAAAAAAAATACTCAAAAACTATCTGTAATCATTTAAACAAATGGTTATCAAATTAAGGAATTTTTTTTTTCCCCATCAAATTAAAAATTGATCAAATCCTTTGTCAAATTTAAATTTAATGAAAACTTAAAATGATAAAACATTGGAGAAGATTTTTGCATCAAAATTAAGAAAAATTTAGAATAAAAAGAATTTTTTAATGAAAAGATTGATTAATTCATATTAAATCGAAATGTTTAAGGAAACAAATTTAAAGCCAAATTAATTTTTTTTTTTTTTAAAAAAACAAAATAGTATTTGCATCATTCTATTTGTATCCACAGTTTCTACAAATTGTTTACAATGTCATGCCTCAATTCCCAATCCATCAACATTCTTTCCTTCATTCGAACCCTCAAATTAGATTACCCACTAAGAATTTCCCTAGAAATCTACGTTTCTCTTCTCGAAGACTCGCATGCGAGTTTGAAATTAGGGTTTCTTGAGGTTTTCGTGAAGCGGGGAGTTATTGTGGTTTTAATGCTTGTGAATTGGAGTTGACTTCTATAAATCTTCAATCTTACTGCACCCGCTCACATTACACCTCTAGTTACAAATTACAAGCAACCTTAACTGAATTGCTAAAAGTTCATTCGAAAAAATTGGCCATACAAATCAATCAATTTTCATTGCAAATGTAACAAGATTTTATTTCCCAGTGTCAAATTTTTTTGTTTCCTAAGGCTGTGTTTAGATCATGGATTTGGGTCGGAATTTGAAAAAGAAAATGAGAAAACTGAGTAAAATATAAATAAAATATAAGTTACATTTTTTTCTTCATTTCCTTTTCCAAGACTGCAAATGTGCTATGACTATGAATAACATGTTAATGCCTTGTCACATGACTGCCTTTTATCTCTGTTGTTTCAGTAAATATATGCTTTGACAGTCATGAAGTCTCTGATAGAGTAGTAAATTGCAAGCTTTTGAATGTAAATTGTCATCTAATGTAAATGGAAATGAGTTGTCAATTGAAGATA